TCCCCCAACTCTCTCTCCCATCCTCCGTCCACCCCCCCTCCCCCCGGGAAGCCCTCCAGGGAGTGTCGAGTGGCGTAACAACCTCCGGGCGTCGTCACTCACAACACGACTCTTCACCAGTGGAGTGTCTTTCCTCATTCCTCACACTCTTCCTCTTGGCGATCCTCCCTCTCTCTCTCCATTCCGCCTGTCGTCTCTTTTTTTTATTCTTTCTTTGTTTTTTTTCTCTTTTTTTCTTCTTTTCTTCCTCCTCTTCCTCCTCATCCTCTTCGTCCAGTCGCCCCATTATAACTGTTCGTTGTTGGAGTGTTTTCCCCATTCCTCATATTCTCCCTCTGGCGAGTTCTACGTCCAGCACGTTTTTTAAAATCTTTTTCTTCGTTCTTCCTTTTTCTCATTTCTCCATTTGTGCCTTCTTTCTCCTTCTGTTGTTTGCGTCCGCGGAGGGGTCAGCGCAGGCGACGCCACTTTTGTCGGTTTATATTATTCAAATGAAAAAGTCGCATTTTGTTTATCACTTTTACATTTCCCTTCCTTTTCGTTGTATTTATCGTGCTCTTCCTGATACTCTTTTTTTCTTTCCCGTAGTTTCTGCACTTTGACTTTCTGCACCCTCTCCCTCTCCTTTACTCTCTTCCTCTTCCTCTTTCGCTCCCTCTCCGTCTCCCTCTCTCCTTCCCTACCCCATTTCCCTCTCCCTCTCCCACTAATGATGAATTACTGAATAAGCCTCATTACGCGAACATCGAATTTGGCTCCGTAATTACCCATCGCGATAATCAGCCGTTCCTCCGCGGATACTCTTCCCCCTCCCCTCCCCCCTCTCCACCTCCCCATCTCTCCCTCCCTTCTCCACCCCTTCCCCCACCCCTCTCCACATATTCCCCTCCACCCCTCTCCACCCCTTCCCCCCTCCCCCCTCTCCCCCCCTTCCACCCTCTCCACCCCTGCCCCTCCACCCTCTCTCTACCCCCCCCCTTCTCCACCTCCCCCGCTGAATTCCATTTTCTTCTCGAGTTGGTCGTCCCGCGATGGATAATTTCTTCGTTAAACTTCGACAAGGAACTTTTTGGTGGTCTCTCTTTTTTTTTCCTTTTGTCGTCTGAGGAAGAAGATAAAATCATCGAAGAAGAGAGATAGAATGTGTAAATAAATAAGGCGAGTCGTTGGTACAAGGAGGGCGGGGGAGGGGGGGTATGGGAGTCATCGTGTTTGTGAGTGTGTGTGTGGGGGGGGGAAGGGTATGAGGGAGGGAGGAGGAGGAGAAGGATGGGGAGGAGTATCTGCAGAAACAGGAGAAGGAGGAGGAGTATATGGGAGACGAGAAGGGGGAGAAGGAGAAGGAGAGAAAGAAAAGGAGAACGAGATGGGGAGAAGAGAGAGAGAGAGAGAGAGAGAGAGAGAGAGAGAGAGAGAGAGAGAGAGAGAGAGAGAGAGAGAGAAGAGAGCACACAGATAGACCGAGAGAGAGACAAAGAGAGAGAGAGAGAGAGAGAGAGAGAGAGAGAGAGAGAGAGAGAGAGAGAGAGAGAGAATGAGAATGAGAATGAGGGAAAGGAGAGAGAAAAAAAAATAAAGAGGAAAACAAACAGAGAGGTAAGAAGGAGGAAGAGGAGGTATACTGGGGCTCGACATTAATTTTCAAGTAGACTTCAGTGTTTACTAATTAATGAAGACGTCAAAGAAAGTGTGCGAAAGAGAGATTTTTTTTTTCTATTATTCATTTTCTCTATTTTTGATGAATGAGTAAATGGATGTAAAGTAAGACGATTTTAGTGATTCCCTCTGCGATTTCACTACTTTTTTTTACACCTCACCTCCCCCCCTCCCCCCACCTTCCCCCACCCATTCATCTGTTTTCATCATTCTTTCATAATAAGTGTCTATGTTTTGAATCACACATTGACTGCTTTGTATTCATTGGCGTTCTGTAGTTTTTTTTCTTGATATCTTCTCTTCACTCTTTTTCTCTCCTCTCCTCTCTTGTACCCTCGCCTATTCTTTCCTCACCTCGTCTTGCCACACCTTTCTTTTTCCTTTCCTTTCTCCTCATATCTCCTATCCTTCTTTCTTATCACCTCTCCTCTCTCCTCCACTCTTTATTTCACTTCACTCACTTTGTCATCTCGTCTCCTTTCCTCCCCTCTCTTCTCCTCTCCACTCCTCTCCTCTCCACTCCACTCCTCTCCTCCCCACTCCTCTCCACTCTTCCTCTTACCCTGCCTTCTACCTTCATCTGTTTGGATATTTCTCCATTTTCTTTTAAAACCCCAACTTTTCCTTCATATTTTCCTTCCTGCATATCCGCACACACCGCCTATGCACACGCACACTCAAACACATTACACATACTTGCGCGTTTCAGAAAATAATTGTGTCGGTATGAATATAAAATGGTGTGCACACAAATGTCCTTTCTGCATGGGAGGAAAAAACTGTTTTGTCGAAGTTTGTTTTTTATGAGTAACGAAGGTATTGTTCACGTAGGGGTTCAGATTGT